CCACCCCCCCCCCCCCCCCCCCCCCCTCCCGTGTGAAGCCAAAGCTTAATCAACATGGCTTTGAAAGAAGGCCCTTGTGGATTGGGAATCCAGGTAATTGCCGAGCTTGCTACCCCCCTCCCCCGCTGGTTCTAGCTTTTATATGCTAAAAAAAAGTTGTCACGTAGCTGGGCCTTGAGATTTTACAGCATGTCATGAAAAGGGCTCAAAAAGAAGGTTGAGAAACCCCTGTTTTAGGCAACTAGAAAAGAGAACAGATTGCTAAAGAAGGCCCTTGTGGATTGGGAATCCAGGTAATTGCCGAGCTTGCTACCCCCCTCCCCCGCTGGTTCTAGCTTTTATATGCTAAAAAAAAGTTGTCACGTAGCTGGGCCTTGAGATTTTACAGCATGTCATGAAAAGGGCTCAAAAAGAAGGTTGAGAAACCCCTGTTTTAGGCAACTAGAAAAGAGAACAGATTGCTTAATGCTAAGCTCTTGCACTGGGCCATATCAATTAAATTGTCTGGGGTTTTTTTTACACTAATTAAACATTCAAAAGACTTCCTTGGCTTATAAAGAATTGATCATGCTAATGTTACCATAACATTCATAGATTTGTATGATGCAGTAACAATGAATCATCTCAGCCCAACCCAGTTAAAAGGTGCAGCCATCATGATGTGTAATTTTGATTCAAGTAGAGACACAACCAAACCACTGAACAGCCATCAGCAGCTGTGCAGTGCAGCACTTCATGATGTATAATCATAGTTCAGTTTTTACCTGGTTAATATTTAATAAGTTTCTCATTGTACAGTTTTTATGTACAAGTTCAGAATTCAGTTTGTCTCTGATTAAAGGTCTTTTGGCTCATCATAGAAAAAACAAATTAAGGGGTATATTAAAATAAAATTTGTCAGTAATAAGTACTGTACTTCTTGGAAACAATTCTCACTGGACTCGCTTCTGATTTTAACCTAACTAGTCCCTTTAAAGAAAGAGGGATTATTTGTTATAATCAGTATGCACTTCTCATGTACCCTTGCTTTCAGTGTATCATTTCTCATTTTGCCTGGGGCTGTCTGACCCTCTATTCTGCTGCAGGCCCCTCCCCCACTTGACCCCTTCCCTCAGACCCTCCACCCACTGAGCCTCCTTTCCTGAGTGCACAGCTGATTTGCAGCATTCAGACTCTGGGATGGAGGATAAGAAGTGGAGATGGAATGAGAATCAGCTGATTCATAGTACTTAAGAAATGCTGGGAGGGAAGGGGAGAAGTATGTAAGTGCATGAGCCACAGTGCCGGGAGAGGGAATAGAGGGCAGGTACATGGGTTGCATGTGGCCCGCGTGCTGTAGATTGCCCACCACTTTTTTAGGGCCATTTTTTTAAAGTTGCTATTACAATTTTTAAATTTGTTTTTAAATTTGCTGCTCTTAAGTCTTGTAAAAGTTTGATTTTTGCAAAGTCTGAATTTTGACTGAGTTTGATAAGACCAAATTCTAGTATGCTACATCAGTGCAGCTCCTCTGGGAGAAATTATGCTTAGCTGCATAGGTGCATGTCTAATGCATCTATTTAAATCCAGTGGAGTTATAGAATCATAGAAGATTAGGGTTGGAAGAGACCTCAGGAGGTCATCTAGTGCAACCCACTGCTCAAATACGGTTGCCAGGTTTCCGGTATTGACCCGGACAGTCTGGTATTTTCACCTCCTGTCCAGTAAAAAAAAATTCAGAAAATACCGGACACCTAAAATGTCCGGTATTTTTCTGAATTTTTTCCCCTAGCCAGGATGCGAAAATACCGGACACCTGGCAACCTTACAACAGACTCAGCAAATGGGCCCAGCCCCTGGCTCCCCTGCTTACCTGGCTCTGCAGGGAAACTCCCTTGTGGCTCAGCCAAAAGAAAAAGATGGCCACTGGCAAAAAACCTCAAGACCTGAGCAAGGGGAAGCAATGCCTCCCCTGGGTCTTAGTGCTCAATTTCTCCCTAGCCCTATTCTGACTCTGCACTCAGTTAAAGGGGCCATACAGTTTTAATGCTGTTTTTATTTATTTTTTTGCTTAATAACTCTCGGATCTCTTTTTTTTCCCCTCAACTTTTGTGTCCCCTCCACTCTTCTCCCCCCCCCCCAACAGAATTTTTTCCCCAGTGGTTTTTAGGAGGTGCTGGGGTGTTCGGTATTTTTGTTGAAGCCATCTGACAACCCTATGCTCAAAGCAGGACCAACCCCAACTATGTTAGATTTATTAACAGCCATACTTGATATATCTGAACCACACATAATTGTCACGGGGTTATATGACAGTCACTATTTATTTCTGCATTATGATTTCAGCTATTTTGTACTTCATTTTCTTATGGAAAGTAAAAGAAATTCCCACTAATTTACAAGGCAGAAGAACAGATTAACTTGTTTTAGTATGCTCATTTAGTTTCTAGAAGATTTACCCAGGATTGCTCGGGTCCTTAACTCAGTTTTTGTTTTTTGGAAAGTAAAATGAAAATGTCAATGCTTTATTTACATCATTACTCTGGGGTGGGGCTGGGAATAAGGGGTTCAGTATGCAGGCTGCCCCAAGGAGAGGGGACAATCCCAGCTCCCTTTCACCATTGCAGCTTGGGATCAGGTGAGAAGCACCTCTGTGGCTGCTGCAGTTCCAGTAGGCACGGTTAGGGGAGGAGTGCAATGTTTCCCCAGCTGAGGCAGGTCCTGGATCGTCTACTCCCTGCACTCCTCAGCCAGAGTGAGGAATGCAGCACACTGTGTACATTCCCCTTGTTCCTTGACTAAGGGGAATAGCTAGCAATCTTCTTTTGCAAATTGGGCGGTGAAAGGGGTGGGAAGCTTCAGCTCCCCCCCCCCCCCCCCCCAGGAGTGCACATGCCCTTAGCCAGTCCCTTTCACCTGCCTGATGAGTCAGTTTTTCTGAATGGTTTTATGAGAAACAAACCCATTCCAGGCACATCCCATTGTCCTGGCACAACCAAACCCTTACCTTGCTTTAAGTTATGATAACCGGAAACTGTGCTGAATTTGGTGGTCCAGGTCTCACGGTTAGGAGTTCAGGAACAAATGGACAGACAAATTCTCTCAAATATATACAATAGATATTCATACTTCTCTAGCATTCAGGGTGATAGATGGTCAGAATTTCCATTTCAGAGAAATGTCACCAATTTGAAATTTGTTTCTGTTCTGATTCAGAATGGAAACATATTTTCAGAATTTTCTGTGAAATGAAGTTTTGATAACATTTTTATTTTGAAAGTAATGAAGCAAAAAATTGCATGTTCCTCGGATTCACTAGCAGCTCCTGACTTGAATAGCCGCAGTGAAACTGTCAAGAATTATTTCCATTGTTGCAGCCATATTGTTCTCAGGATATTAGACAAATTCTGAAGACTGCTCTGTGAAGTTCGAAAGTGTATCTTTTACACCAAAAGAATCTGAGCCAATAAAAGATATTTCCTTAGCCATTTTGTGTCTGGCCAGAATGGTATATCATTTGCAGTCAGAGGTGCCAGGATTTCCAGGGTCTTTGGCTTCAGAATAGCCTGGTGACCCCAGATCTTCCAGCCTCACTTCCTAAGCTGCTTAACTTTCAAAACAGCTGGATTCATAGGCTGCAGGAGTTGGGTTCTCAACTGGGCTCCCAACTCCGCATCAGTCATTTTGGTGGGCTGCTGAGGAGTTGGGCAGGCAAGGTTGCAGGCAAGCTTTGAACACTGCCTTTGGAAGATGAGTCAAAAACAGCATGTTTCCATACCATGTTTTGCTTTCTGCGGATTAGCAGTTCCCAATAGCAAACATTGTTAGGAAAAATTCTGACAAGCCCTCCTCAGTGGGAATGCAATACCTCATTGTCCAAATGAGATGTTACCACTTATTGCTTTAATTTGGGTTTCTTATTTGATGTATATTTTTCCCTGGGTATCCAGGCATGGAATGCCATAGCCATAAAGTTCATGTGTTGCAAATTTTGGGGCACTGCTGTGTGTTATTCCACAAAGTGCATTATATTTCATGGATAGCCATGAGTGTTTCAATGTATACTGTGTTAGCCTTTGGATAATTGTTTTGAAATTGCTTATTTTTTTTCATTCATTTATATGAATGACTTACTCTTTTTGTGCCAGTTAAGCTTATAAATATAAATTAAACATACCAATTATTTTACTATTTTAAAATATGGTGGTAGTGTCTAGAGGCCCCCAGATAGGGATCAGAACTTCAATATGGTAGGCTCTCTATATACATTGTGGTTATTACTACTGTCCACGTGTAATACATGAATAGAAACAAACAGTTTCTATTTTAGCACTTTATTTTTTTCCTCCCTTCCTCCATCCCCCACTCTGAATAGCTCAAATACCAGTTGGAAATTTCTGAAGCTTACATCACACATTTGACCTGAACAAAGTGAGGCTATGATTCCTACTCCACCTATGCAAATATCAGGAGTGATGATAGCATGTTGAACTTTGCCTCTGTTTAAGAAGAATGTCTAGTATTTTCCCATAGCTTTTTGACTGTGCAGTACTTATAGTAGTAAATTTAAATTTACTTTTGTCACTAAAGAAAGAATCTAACTACAAATTAGCTCAGAAAGTAGGTGTCTTAGCTAGTTTTTTTTCCACGTGTGACTATAATTACTGTATACCACTTTAACAAATGAAGGCTGTGAGTGAACAACTTCCTCTGTTCTTCCCTACTACATTTTGGTTGCTACGAAAAGAGTCCATCTTTGGCTTAGCATTCATTATGCTATAAAAATGATCCCTCTGTCCCTTGAAAAGTAATGGCCAAAGTTTTCAAATATAGGAACTTTTGGCAATCCCTCTAATCGGTGCTTAAATATGGATTTAAGAGCCTCAATTTAGGCTTATTTTTGAAAATTTTGATCATATAGCTGTACTTACTCTAGCTGTGTTTGAGATGTTAACTCTGCTGACAGTAGATTTCTCTTCATCTGAGATCTAAATAGTATATTACTTTATCTGTACGCACACAGTACTTTCTTCATTACTGTTCTCTTGTGATAATACTTAGAAAGCTAACATTTTTTCCTTGCAAAATGACCCAGGGGGCTGTGGTGGCTTCAGAAATTTCTTGATGTGGCCACATTTGAGAGAAGCTGGCATAGACCACACTGCTGACAGTATGGGATGAACTATAATTAGCTTTTGTCAGTGCAATCAAAGATGTGGCAACATTCCTTTTAGACATACCCAATCTAGCTTTGATCTAGCTAGCTTGGCTGACAAGAGAAGTGAACCCTCATTTTCTCCATTGTATACTCAAGAGTCCAGGGTGGAGTTGTATAGCCTGTGGTATCTGGAGTTCAGACCTTGGGTCTTGGGCAGGGTTGTGCAACTAGTGCTGACATTGCTTCACTTATTTGAGCTAGATAGATCAAAACTAGCTTGCATATGTCCACACATGTTGTAGTCACACTTCTGATTGTGGGGTAGATACTCCCTTAGTGTTTGCTGTGTTTTTTCAATACTATGAAAAGTCTATTTTAAAGGACAGTAAATACCCTTATATACACTTTTATCTCCTCAATCTGTTCTGACCACTAGACCAGTGATTGTGTATTTATGTAATATTGAAAAATCCACCCCACTTCAGCCTACCATGTTCTGGGATGGACTGGTGAGGGTTCATTGTGCTTAACTTCTAGAATGTAGCAGTGTCATGCCACAATTAACCATGAAGTTAATTAAGGAGTAGCTTTGTCTAGCTGAGAACTTAGGCCATCATTTTCTGTTGGTAGAAGGCTGGTTGTTTTGAGGGGCTGGTGAATGTGTGCACATGCCAATAATGAGAGACTCGCATCATTCTAAGCATCTTGTGAGAACAAGAAAGACAAAATTAAAGGCATTCCAGTTTAAAAAAAAAAAAAAGTAACAGCCACTGTAATTTTAAATTTTATTCCTCTATGCATGCTCATTTTATGTATGCTTATACACTCAGGAATTAACTTTCAAAGTTATCCATGTATTTGCTAACAGGCAAACAGTCATGTAAAACAATTTTGAATAAAAAGAACAGCCCCTGAGTTTACAATCTAAACTGCAGTGAGCGATTTAGAGTATTCTTAAGTATATCTGATAATAAATTTCAGTTAAATTATACTTTAAGTGCTATTTTTATAGGTGCCAATATGAATACAGTTTAAAATCTAATTAAAGCTCCTTGAATCGTTGCAATGAAACCATTCTCCACATAGTTCTGTACCATGTGTAGCACTTACTTCAGTTTGTGATTCCTCAGGTTTCCCTATCTGTACGACTGTGGGATAGTGTGTTGCTGTATGGTTAGGCTTCCAAAATCTATCAGAATCAGGTTCTGGTAAGTTAAGCTCTTTAACTTAACACAAGTACACATTTTCAATAACAGCATGCAATTGGATTTCAGACCTAAAGTAAAATATGAATAAAACTTAGATTGAACGGTAGACAAAATTGGACAATATACTCAAACATCAAATTGCAGTATATACTTTCTATAACGTGAACTTGCCGTTCCTGAAATTGTCTTGAATTAAGAGTTCTTGAATTGTTAGTAACACATCTATATGTTATAACTGAACGGTGAACTCCACAACACAAATATACTTGTTCAATTTTGTTTCAGACGTTATCTTTGGGAGAAAACCACCACTAATCACTTTATTTAATTTTTTAAATATTTATTTTTCAGTATAATTAAATTCTGAGCAAGATGTTCACAATACTCCAGCTGCTGAAGAATACATGAAATACAGGGAACTTTTAAACAATCTTTTATTGCGTATAGCTTAATTGTAAAAACAAATGAAATGTCTGGATTTAGTGCAGCAACTTTCAGGCACTTCATATAAATAAATACTTTTATTCTTTCTAAATGTACAAGAAGCTCATCTTTAAAAACGTAGACATCAGAATTATGGCATTTCTGTGGTGTACAGAACATCTAGGAGTGGATACTTTACACAAAACAGTAACTGCCATTTCCTGTTATCTTGGCAAAGAATATTAAATGTGTCATCTACGGTAGCTGAACTCATGAGAGGAATATACATTTTGTGGTTTTTTTCAATCTCAGTCAAAGAAGCACTTTAAATTTAAATTACATGACCTAAACAAACCACTTATTTTAAGTTTATTTTGTCAGCAATATTCTTATCTAAATAATTGACACATCTAGTTTCAATTACTTTGCGTACTTATTTATCCATCTGTGCATTTATTTTTTTAAAGGAATAGCTTAAATTTTGTAGATAAGTCCTAGAAAAGATCGGGTATATATGGAACCTGTGGAATGGACACCACAGTTGCAATAACTTTATCAGTGCTTTCAAGAATCCAAACAGCATGTAAACAAAATAGTTGCTGCCTAAAATAATCATGCCTTCACAATTGTTTTAACCTGCTAATACAAATAATGTGAAGATCTAGTCTCCTATCTCTTTATGCTTTGTTGAATTGTAAAACACCTTTGGGCCTTGTTAGTATCTACTTAGATTTCTGACTATCATTTGTTTTTTGTGAGGTTCAAAACTATAAGGAGGACTATATAACAGGTCATGGACTTTGGGGCACAAAGGCAGGAGAGAGAAAACTTGGACATCTTTTAGAAATGTGTAATTTTTACAGTAATTACATTTTTCTATAAAGTATTTAATCATTATATGAACAGTTTTCCAAGATGAAAAAGGGTAATCTGTACAAGAAAACAGTTTCACAGCTGAAGTATCACAGTCCCAGTATCTTCTCTCGGTTTATATTGTAGATTCACTAACAAATATTTTAGCTTTTAAAGTCTGGAGGCTGTGTTGAAAAAAGTTTTCGGAAGTTTCAATTTCAGAGCATCTGGAATCCTGTAGTCTAGTTACTCTGCTCTTTATTGAGTTTTGAATCGTCTCTGATGTAAAATAGTATACTATAGGGTCAAAACAACAATTTGAGACTGCAATGCAGAGAGTGATAGGATACATAGTCCTGACAGCAGTTACTAATGAACAATTAATCCATCTTTGTGTTCTCATAAGAGAATAAAGTATTAGGGTAATGTTATATGGTACAAAACAGAAACAGAATATCACCAAATGGACAAAAATCATTCTGAGTACCTTTTTTTTGCTTAACTTGTTCCGACTTAATGTAACTGGTTTATTCAAAGTTCTTAAAACCATCGTAGAACAGGTCACGTTTAAGATCAGTGGAATAAAAAATCCCACAATTTCAATAAAGATCACAATCCTTGATATATATGTTTTCCATGTGGAATTAGGAAAGTTTTCAAAACATGTACTTTGGTTGGTAGTACTAGTGTCATTTAGTACTTTGGTACTACTGTCATTTAGTGGAACCGTGGACTGAAAAAAGCTTGCTGGTATGCTTCCTGCTATCACAGTTATCCATACTGCAACACAGACAATTGTTGCATTTTGTTTGGTTCTAAGAGTCTTAGACCAAAATGGATGTACTATGGCTAAAAAACGATCTACACTTATGCAAGTCAAGAAGAAAATGCTTCCATACATGTTTGTATAAAACATTGTGACAGAAATCTTGCAAAGTATGTCTCCAAATGGCCAGTATTGTATTGCAAAGTAATAAATCCTGAAGGGTAAAGTAAACACAAAAAGCAGATCCGATATTGCTAAATTAAGCATGTAAGTTGTTGTTTCATTTCGCATTTTTAATGTGAAAGTAAAAATGTATATAGCAACACAATTTGATATTAGACCAAGGACAAACACCATGCTAAAAATACATCCATATAAAGTATACTTAAAGGAGTCTTCACTGGGACAATTTGGTTGTACCATTATTATGGCAATTTAAATTTACAATGTTGAATTCCTTTAGTTAGCTTTCCTTCTGCTGTTGACTACTTTAAAATCTCTGGGTACCTTGTAGATGAATTTGGTCGATGAGTGATTTCACAAGTTTTCCGTTTTACTTTAAAATTTCCAAGATGAAACATGAATGTTGCAGTAGGAAGATACAGCTCTGGTAATCACCAGGAGATCATTCTTTTCTGCCAAATTCCACAATAGCCAGACATCCAGTCCTGGTCGGTAAACCCAATACAGGCAGCGCTGGTAGATGAAGTCATCCTTTTATTTAATTCCACACGCTCGTTTTCCCAGATGTAATGAAGCCGATACAGAACTTGCTGTTTTATGGTCAGTTGCAAGTCAGAAAGTAGAGTACTTTATATTGCAAACTTTCCCTCCAAAGTTTAACAGAGGTTCCTTTTTAGGAAAAGATTCCCCGGGCTCTGAAAAATGTAGGCATTTCAACCCCTCTCATTGCCGCTTGGCTGTAAAACAAGCTTTTCAACTTGCCTGCCTGCTAACCCCAAAGGGTGGAAAGCAGGCTGCTTTGAAATTAGAAATAAAATTCCAAAGCTTGTTCGTTCTTGCTGAATGTAGATATCCGCCTTAAACGCCGAGTGTATAGTAAGCCTTGCTTATTCGAAAGAGAGAAGGGGGGGGAGAAAGCTCAATCATTTTGCAACATGACATCACAGGAAGAAGAGGCTGGACTTAAAGAATGGTTTCAATTCAGTTTGTTTGCCTTTCTTTAATCTGATAATGTGTCTGCAGGGAATATACCTCGGAGGCAGGCAAATGCTTGGCGTGGTGGAGCCGGCTGCTATTAACTCTTTCTGTACCGGGGAAAAGTCCTTTGTCAGCAAAAGTGCTTTTTATTTTTTTTAACTGCCCCATTCAGTGCAAAAATCTTTTTTTTTCTTTGTAGTTGTGATAGACTTCTGTGGATGGGAGAATAACTTCCACTTGTAAGCATTTAACTTCCTTTGTTGTTAATTATTTTTCACATTTTGAAATTCTTAATAGCTATCCCTGAATTTTTCATAAAGATGTAATTTTGGAAAATGTATTCTTCTCTGTGATACATAGAGCTGATGTTTTTTCTGAGAACTGTTAATTTATGTGAAGGGAAATTTAGAAAGAATAGAATTGAATCTGGGCATGGGGACAGGGAAGGGAGGTTAAAGCAATATATTGAGGGGTAGGAAAGGAGTATTAGAATATAGTGAGGTTAACAATCAAAATCACATATACCCAAATTTTGAACTAAGAAGACATGCCTATTATTGCCTCCATCAAAGTCTTTGTTTTTCTTTTTTAAATTGTGCATTCTGTAGGGCAAGGAAAGTATTTTCCTGTTTGTGAAGACTGAATACACTTTAGGTTCTAACACAATATAAAATACTTTATTCTGATAATTTTGTAAAGTAAATCACTTATTTGTACATTCTGTAATTATTCCTTCTAGCTACTAATACAATGGAAATAAATGTCTACTTATTAAAATACTGTGTAAATGTTAGAGAAACTCCTTTACAAGATGGTACAAGAAGACCCTCAGTTTAGATACACTAGTCTCTTTTGGACATAAAAAATGCATATTTTAGGTCTTAAAAGGGAAATCCTTGTGCATATGTGTGACTGATGCATTTCTTTCAAGCTAATTGTTCAGCAATCACACCTAAGCCATGGCCAGGTTAGCAAATAGTGTGTAGTCTATTCCCATTGTAAATAATGGTAGGTATCAACTTCTTATTCACAGGGGTGTGGCATAGTTTTTTCACTGCCAGGCTTAGCAAGCTGATGTCCGAAATGCATCAGAATGATTTTTGTACTAATTTAATTTAAGGCTTACTGGCAAATTTCTCTCTCCTTCCAAACAATTTTACACGGCTTTCTTGATAGAAGTGAATTGATAAATTGATAAACTCTATTTTTTCTTACATTTATGACCTGATAAATGTGCATATCTGGAGACTCCTGGTTAACCAAGAGGCATATATAGTTTACAATAAATATATTCAGGTCATAAATGTGCATATCTGGAGACTCCTGGTTAACCAAGAGGCATATATAGTTTACAATAAATATATTGGAGATGGAAAGGTGAATTGAGCAGAATTGTCTGCACTGTTAACTTTCAGCCATGAGATATAGATTTTTACTTCGTGTTATTGCTAAAAGTAAGGTTAGTAATACAGCAACCTATTTTCTTGCTTACTGTGTAAGCAAGACCATTATGTTTAGTCATGTTTTGTGTTCTCACTTTCTTATGTCCTAGGGCAAGATGTGGCCCGGGAGCCGGATCCAGCCCACCTAATAGTTTGATATGGTCGACATTCTGCATCTTGCCACTTCCTATTTATAACCTACTGCCTTTGACACTGAATTTCCAGGCAGTGGCTCAGTCAGCAGGATCCAATTAAATGGTTCACAGCTCCTGGTAGTGGCACTACCCTGGCAGGGGCTAGAGCTGAGAGCCCTTTAAGTAGGTACAGCAACCCCAGGCAGCTGCCAGTCAACATGGTAGTGGCAGGGACCGGTGCCAGGAGCCCTTAGCTGTATTTAATTCAAAGCTTCTGCCCCCCCTCCCCCGACAACTCTGGGGGGGAGGGGAGGGCTTTTCCCCAGCCCTGCTCCTTCTGCTTCAGGCCCTGCCCCATGACCATGTGCCAAAATTCATTAAGTGCCCCCCTGCAAAAATTGCCAACCCCTGCCCTAGTGCTTACTGAAGTAAATGAAAATCTTTCTAGTGCTTTCAATGGTTCAGGCCCTGGAAGGCCTGGGCTTGCTTCTCTGCTCATTCTTTAGTTTCTCTTCTGAGTATGGACTGTGAGCACATAACTTTCTTAGTAAAAGAGGACTGTAGCACAAATGTAAAACCCCAAACTTAAACATTTGGGTGTCTTAAGTTAAGCTCCTAGATACACATTTTAGGCACCTGATTAAGTTTATGAAATTAAGCACTAATGAACTCAGGTGGGTGGCAGGTCACTAATGCAAGTGCCTAATTATGGTTTTAGATCAGTGATTGGAACCCACCAGTTACATGTGGCCCATTGGCGTTCTGTGTGTGGCCCACAACGCATTTTGTTGACTGTTGTCCCTGTGCAGAGTTGCCTGATTCTGCTGGTTTCTGTCCATATACAGTAAACTTCCGATAATCTGGCACCTTTAGGACCCAGAGGATGCCAGATTATCAGATATGCCACACTATCGGAAGGGGGGGGGCA